AAAAAGAGAGAAACCATCTTTAAACAGAGGAGGAGGCCTCAGATTTCCACTTTCAAAAACATATAATGCAGCTTCAGGACTGAAACCAGCCAGTTTCACACCTATCAGGAGTTCCAATCATGTGACCAGGGTGGCCCCTCTGTGGGTGGGACTAACAACGACCCTAACGATCCTCTGTTGTGAACAGTGAGAGGTCAATCTGCATGTGTCAATCTGCATTATGCAAGCTTACAGAACACCTCAGCGTTATAACTTGAGTCCCACACTCACTGATCACTGAATTGAGGAAGCTCCTCGGATGAGGAGCGAAACGTCTTCAGTTACAAATAAAGTCCAGTTGTTTTGTTTTTAACTTTTTTTTTTTGATTCCTCATCAAGAACTCCTGATCTGGTCCTTAGGTCTTCATATTCAAGGTTCTTTATTGTCATTTGCATCATGTGGTACATGAGGTGGAATGAAACTGTGTACTCAAACAGAGGTATGTATGAGTATTGTCCTTCCCATGATGCTTATCTGTTAAAGTGGCTCTGGATCGAGACTTCTTCAGACTTTCAGAAGGTCTTTCAAAGGTTTCATTTGGCCATGAGCTGGTTTTCTCTCGGTTCAAGTCCTTGAACCAGAACATTTTCAGAAGAATGTAAAGTGGAGGTTCTGGAGGTATTCACTTGAGCAGCAGATCTGACCAGAGCACCAGCATGTACAAGAAGAACCTGTTTTCTGAGGAAGTTCAGACCCTGAAATGTGTCCAGAAGTTGCTGGAGGGTTATTTATCCAGCTGTGGATTCAGGAACCATCTACTGGATCATGGTCTGGGAGCAGTACCAGAACCAGGATTACCACTAGGCTCAGTAAACTCATTAAAACGGCTAGAAAAAAATCACTGGGCATGGGTGGATCAATCCCATCATGACACCCTACAGAGACAGTGAAGCTCCTTTTCCAACAGATTCACTCAGCTCTGCTCTCACAGAGACCAGGAAATCATTCCAGACATTTTTTATTTCACTTCACATCAACTTGTCTCTGATGGACAAACACCATCAAACGCCCGATCACAACTAGAGAAAATACTTTATTTACAGAAAATACTTTATCATCTACAGAATACTTTATTATCTACAGAATACTTTATTATCTACAGAATACTT